TCTCTCTCTCTCTCTCTCTCTCTCTCTCTCTCTCTCTCTCTCTCTCTCTCTCTCTCTCTCTCTCTCTCTCTCTCTCTTGCGCGCGCGCGCGCACAGACACACACGCCCTCGTGCAAACGCTGACATACACACACCTTCGCTGACGTGGAGGAACACGATTGTGCAACACGACGGCGGCACACGCAAGCGCAAGCAGCGACGAAGCACGACACACACGCGAGCACTGTTGGACGGGCACTGGCGCTGCAGACGGCTACAGCGCACGGGCAATTCTGAGATGGCGGCATGGCACAGCGGACGTGCGGAGTCCCATTCTGGCCATCCAGGAACACGCCAGACCCGCGACGCAGGCACGCTCACACGGTCGCTGCCAACGGCGATGGCGGCGCAGAGGTCTCATGCACGGCGGCAAAGCACAGCCAACTCGCGGAGGACGACGCAGCACGGAACGCGACGCAGCCACGCACACACGGTCGCCGCCAGCGACGATGGCAGCACGCGGATGTTGTGCATGGCGGCGATGGACGGGGAGATTGCGACGACGGCGGCTGTGTGACCAGGCCAACGAAACCCTAGAGGAGCTCACCTGTTCCCACATCCAAATTTGAAGATAAAAAACAAAAAATAAGGCCAGTGAAATGTATTCTACGAACTCTAACACCAGGCGGGAAACAAATATTTTCGCCAATAAATCGCCAGAATTTTTCGTTTCCCCCGACGGGGCCGGCCACGCATTGGACCAGGCCGACCGTTTGAAAGGCCGTAGCCGCAATCCGCCGCCCGAACGCCTCCCGGAAAGGGCCTCACATCCACCACGTAGGGACTTTGGTCCTGCCCCCCCCACCCCCCGCTCTGACACCCCGCCCCCGACGGGCCGACCTGCCGAAAAACCCGACCCTATATCACAGGATCATAATTTTATACTGGCGGGGGTAGTGGTGGTTTAAGCGAACAAAAAACTGAGGGAGGAGATGAAAGAGAGTCTCGACAGAGAGAGAAGCCAACAGGCCGTCTTAGCATTTTCCGATCAGTGGCTTGATCCCAATCACAAGATGGCGGATGTCCAGGACAGCGGAAAGCTTATATGGAAAAACTGGGCGGCACAGGAAGATCAATGGCCCTTCCGACAGCCGGACTGCTTTTTCACACCACTGCCAGGCCCGTCAACAGGGATAATAGCAACAGTCAATCTAATATCTGCCCAATACCCCCAGGCCTCTGCGGAGTCTGCCCCTCACCCACATCAGCCCCCTCCTATACCCTTTC